TGTGTGTGTGTGTGTGTGTGTGTGTGTGTGTGTGTGTGTGTGTGTGTTCAGGCCAGAATAAGCTGAGCAATATTCTACAGCTACATCTGGATACCTGTCATTTAAGCAGGAATTCTTTAATTCAATGTAACCTACTTGGCTACTGTTATACTTTATAAAGGCCAGAATGAATATGACTAAAAACAGTCATCATAATATTATTCTGTCTCATTGGAATAACCAGCTTTGGGCAGTGTTTGGGTTTGTTCCTGCATGGGAATGAAAAAGGAAAGAAAGAACAGGAGAGAGAAGAGGAATGGGAACTGACCTGATAGTTCCCTCGTCATAATGCTATGATAGGGTATGTAGCTAGGATCCCTGAGGAACTCTTAGCCAATTCAGGGACCATTTCTGTCAAACCTACAGGTCTGCAATCAACCATCAGACAGGGAGAGAGCTCTGAGGATGCTCAATTCCATCTCTGTCCCCAGGATGAGCTATTGATGCTAATCCCCACATCTGTGATACCCAGTTTGGATCCAAATTTTGTGTAGAAGTTTCCAGGACAGGCTGATGATTCTAACCTTACTTTTGATGGGGGAAGGGAGGGATTGTTAAAGCACTGGAAGCAAATCCTGGGGTTTGAGAACATGGGGTGGAAGAAGCAGAGTGAGATAGCCCTGTGATATGCAGAATGATACGTACAACTTTCCCAGGTGGTCCTGGAACTCCTGGGGGACCTCGGAAGCCAATCGGTCCCTGTAAAGAAGATCCATACATTAGGGTGATACTGAGTCTCTGGCCAGAGCAACATTGTGCAGCTGGGAGACCTTCACTCACACAAAATCTCCCCAATAAGAGACCCAGTTCAGGCCCATACCATCATTATAAATCTCCCAGGGGTAGAAATGGCATTCCTGGTATATTTTGCACTATAACTGGCTCCAAATAGCTCTCCCCCTCCTAATACTAAATTAGCTAGTACTTTTTAAGGTATTCCTTAATAAGTGCCAGACCTGAAGTCAAGAAGACCTGAGTTTAAATCCAAGCTCAGACATTTACAGCTGTATGACCCTGGACAAGTCACTTAACTTTTCTCTGCCTCAGTTTCCTCATCTGTAAAATGGGGATAATAAAAGCACCTACCTCCCAGGGTTGTTTTGGAGATGAAATGAGATAATAATTGTAAAGCATTTAACACAGTGCCTGGCATGTAATAAGCACTTTATAAATGTTATTGTTGTTGTTATTGTTTTTCTTAATCTATATTCAAGAATCAAATCTAGAACAAATACGGGCTCTGGAATCAGAGTTCAATCTAGGTTCAAATCCCAACCTCGATACTTAACTACCTGGGTATAATTGGGTAAGTCACCTAACTTCCCTGGATTTCAGCCTCCCCACCTCTAAAATGAGAGGGCTAGAACAGATGGCCTCTGGAGTCCTTACCTATTCTTCCAAATCTATGGTCCTTTAAGTCCTACCTCCTTTATAAAGCTAAGGTCTAGCCTTCTTTTAATCATTACCTATTTATCCTGTATATACCTTATTTATATGTATTTGTTTCTTTGTCATCTCCCACATTAGATTGTAAGCTCTTTGAAGGCAGAGACTGTCTTTTGGCTCTTTTTGTATCCCCAGTACTTAGCACAGTGTCCGGCACATAGTAGATGCTTTATAGATATTTAATGACTGACTAATCCATCCTACATTGATAAAGCGTGACTATAAGCATAACATGCTCTTTTTCAAAAACCTTTGGTGACTCCCTATCACCCAATCAATATTGCATACAGTTCTGGGTGCTACATTTGAGGAATGACATTGACAAGTTGAAGCATTTCCAGAGGCAGGTGACCAGAATGCTGAAAAATCAGGAAAACATGCCCCATGAAGATAAGTTGCAAGAACTGGAGATTTTTAGCCTAGAGAAGAGAAGATGTTTAGGCTGGAGGGAGGTGGGAAAACATGATCATTTTCTTCACGTATTTGCAGGCTCCACTGTGGAGAAGGAAGTAGTTGTGCTCTCCTTGGCCTCAGAGACCAGAAACAGAAAGAATGGGTAGAAATGCAGAAACACTGATGTAGGCTCAATACATTAAAAAATTTACTAACAGCTGGAGCGGTCCAAAAGTGGAATGGACACCTCAGGAGATTGTAGGTTCTCCATCACTGGAAGCCTTCAAGTGGATTCTGGATGACCATTTGTTGAGGCTATTGTTGAGAAGTGGCCCATTTAGATGTACTTTTGTCAAATGACTTCTGAGCTGCCTTCCAACTTTGAGATTCAGTGATGATTCTGTAAAACTGTGCCCTGGCATCCAAGGCCTACCATAAGATGGCCTCAACTTGTCTTCCTAACCTTATTTCCTTCCAGTCTTTTCATGAACCCAATATTTCAGACAAATTAAACAACTTGTTGTTCCCCAATCATATCAAAAAGGAGAATCCTGTACTAGGTGAGTGGGAAACTGGGCTTCCTTAATATTCTGAGACCATTTTTTGAAATCACACCTATGGAAAGAGAGTCAAAGATGTAAAGCAGGGTACCATCAGCCCAGTGCTGATGAAGTAGGAAATAGGCAGTACTTACACGATCTCCAGGTGGCCCCAGTGTACCAGTCAGTCCCCTTAAGCCCCTAGGGCCCTGTAGGAAAAAGGAAGTAGGTAAGACTGAAGGGACCAAGTTAAGTGGAGAGGACATAACAAACAGCTAGGGAAGAAACAGTTGCAATAGATTGTGACATTTGTGTTGTTTTAAACAAGGAGACTTTGAGGGCAAGAGATCTTGCATGGGACCATCTTGAATAAACCGTTGCTTTTGCAGCTACAAGATTGAAGATTATACAAAGGCCACTTGGTTCAGGGCCATGTGCAGAGTTTTGAAAGCATGGAATTCCTCTCAGGCTGGGGAAACAGTGCTGAGGGAAAGAGTTTTCTTATCCAGGAAAGAAGCAAAGTGATTGAGGGAACTCTTGGCTAGGGATTGTCCAACAAGGCATACGCTCCCTAATAACCATGGTGGAGGAAGAAGGTCATCATGAATTGTGATTCTTTTTAGTCTTCAATTCCTGAGACTATTTGTTTAAGTAAAAGCTTTTGCCTTGATTATACCAACTAGAAAAGGAAAGTATCTTTGAATTTCCATAAATCTCATTTTTTTACACTGGGCATCAGAATATGGGAAATATATTTTCATGTGCCAATAGCTCTAACTGGTGCAGAGATGTTGTTCCTGCTATCAGTCTCTGAAATAAAAGGCTAAACAACAACACAATTCACAAATAGATTACTTGTTCCTTCTTTGATGCAATGTTTGATGCATTTTAAAAATTAGTAAAATGGGCTAAAATGGCAATCAAGGCTAGAGAGAGCCTTGGGAGGTGGAGAGTTGAAGGAGCTGAGAGATCTAATTTTCAGCCCAGCTTAAGCTGTGTTACATCCCACCCTTCAGGTCATCTCACTTGAACCTTTCCCAGTTCTTACCTGTAGACCAATGGTTCCAGGAATACCAGCAGGCCCTGGGGGACCAGGATCACCCTGCAATGGAGATCATCACTGGCTTAGAAAGGGCATAGTCATGTGTCTATCTGACACATCTGCATCCCTTCAGGCATAACTTCAACCCTTTTGTGGATGTTCTGCCTCACCCTACCCCAAAAGCACACCTCAATGTCCCCTTCCATACTAAAATGTACTCACCCTCACACATATGGGACATGATTTTGTTTAGTCTCTATTCTACAATCTCTGTGTCTTCTGCTTGAGATTATGAGTTTGCAGAGGACAAGGACACACAATGAGTCATTTTGTATGCCTATCTCAGTTCCCCACACCAAAAAGTGCTTTAAGAGCCTGGACACTAAAATTATGTTGCACCCTCCCAGTAAACCCATTGTGCTGTCATCTCCACAGGAGCAGCCTTCTTTCTTCCTCAATGATAGATAAACACAACTCAGTGGCATTTACCTTCTCTCCATCTTTCCCCACTTCTCCTTGTTCCCCTTTGTAACCAGTGGGTCCCTGAGAGCAGAAAAGATAAAGAACATATCAAACTTCCTAGGTCCTAGGACTTCAGTACACTTTAGAGCTGCATGTCAATTTCTGACTGAGCCAGAGCAGAAGGGCTGTGGTAACTGGGAGTTCTCCATCTGAAGCCAAGCCCTAGAGAATACCATACAGTAAAAGCAAGCAAACAAGCAAACAAAAAGCCAACTGTAATAACAATAGCCTGAGTGTATCCTTATTTTAAAGATGAAGAGACTGAGGACTATGAATAGTAAGTAGCTAGTTCAAAGTTGCCCAGTTAGTTATTAGTGCTTACACTCTGTTTTTCAAACTCCTGGACCATTGTTCTTTTCCCTTATGCCACCCCAGTTCTCCTTTCCTCTGGGTGACTGACCTTGAATAATTGGATGTCAGCTTCATCCATATCTTGCTACTTGCTAGAAATCCATTTGGTAATAAATACTGCTTTGAAAATAGTTGCTGCATGTGAAAGGGGGCAGGGATGGGGAACTGTACTTGGACACAAAACTAGCTTCATTTCAACCTCAAAACCTCCTTATACCTTGTTTTGGCCAAATGACAGTAAACCAGAGGTCTGCACTTGTCAGATTCAATAATTCAATTCTACAGTTCTATAGTACCTACTATGTGCAAAGGTACTGTGTTGTGTTGGGTATCTTTTTCTTTTTGGGGGGGGGCAGTGTATTGGTGCTGGTGGGGTCTGAACCTGTGCTTCTGATAGTGCTTGGGGATTTCCAATATGACAACTCTCTCTATCAATGCAGGTCAACATCTGATCTGTAATAGAGAGTTAGCTGGGGCACTGAGAGGTTAAGTATCTTGCCCAGGATCACATAATTTGTCTATGTCCAGTATTCCATACAAACTAAACATTTCAGACAAACAGAGCTTGAACCCAGGTCTTCCTGACTTCAACACTTACTCTGTATTGACTGGAGATGAAAGAAAGAAAGAAAGAAAAAGAAAGAAAGAAAGAAAGAAAGAAAGAAAGAAAGAAAGAAAGAAAGAAAGAAAGAAAGAAAGAAAGAAAGAAAGAAAGAAAGAAAGAAAGAAAGGAAGGAAGGAAGGAAGGAAGGAAGGAAGGAAGGAAG